ATATATATATACACTTACATATATATAGATATATTGGTCAAACTCAAGAATTCATTGTTACCCGCAGGAAAAGAATTCAGATTCATTTAAAATAAAATTAGTTCATTGATTTGATTACCGATTAATGTTCGAATTGACAATTATAATTGGTAAACTGAAGTTAGAAACTGGGATTGATAAATTCAATTATTTTTTAAATTTTTTCTATAGATTGCATCCGATCACAATTCCATCACAATTATCAAAATTGAAATCATTCTTAAACTGTTTCATTTTTACCGTTTGCGATATTTAACCAACGTTCTGAAATCATACATATTATTTCGCAGTATATCCGTGTAATGCGTTGGAAACCTTGATTTACATTCCTCGATATAATAAGACTGACGTGACGTAGTTTCCTCGAAGACTACATGTTTACATACTGGTCTAATTATTGTTGATCGATATAATTAACGGTCATCAAGAACTTTTTCGTTATTTTCGCAACTAAACGCAACTAAATCTAATCTCTATGTCAGTTGAAGATACAATCGATTTACTCGACTGTTTCAAATTCTCTACGCTTTTCAGCGTGCTAATCCTCGCCAATAATCATGCGTGCCAATTATGTGCTAGAAAGTTTCATCAATACGCATTCGTCGCGATATAATCCATACGATCTGATGCCGGCCGTTTAAAGCTGACATTTGAATGATAAAGTGGAGCACGATCATGGATTAACTTGTTCGAATGGACGATATACTTTCATAATGTTAGAAAGTATATATCGTACTGACGATGAACTGTGAGCCGGTTTCCTCTTCAGTTCATCAGAAAAGATTTTAGTTGCAAACGTTGAAGATCATTTATAAATGACCAATGATTATATTTTTGCAAAGAGCTGTATAAAGTAGAAAATTTTTTAATAAATTCGTTCTAAATTATAAGTTCTTTGACCCCAATAATGTCCATTTTTGACATTCCCTGATATATTTTTTATCACTTTACCTGTACTTATCAAATCGTTTCGGATCATCGAAGTTTCAACTGGAATTATTTTTTACGTTATCAAACTCGAAAGATATATTTGGAGTTTATTATCATTTGATATTCTATGTGTTCCAAGATTTATTATACATTTATTTTATTCTTCTACTTTTTTTAGTTCTTTTACTCTTTTTGTTTCACTTCTTTTCCTTCACTTTACATTCCTCATTTTCTACATATGCTTCAAGAGCACTGAATGAAAAGTACTACGATTACACTACGATTATGAAAATTGTAATTTTGTGCAGTTTAGTTAAAATTAAATCTCTCATAATGCGTTGTGACTCAAGTTTTAATTAATTTAGGATTTTGTCACGACAACTTTACAAAACAAATGTTATTAAAGACACAAGTATACTGAAAGGAAATATATGAAATATGCGGACTGATAAGATAAAAAATTAGATACAATAAGACAAGGTATATGCGAATATTATATCTTGACGTACGCGGAAGAAAACGGATAGGCAGATTATACGAAAAACGAGCGAAAAGTTATATTTTTCGCATTATGGAAAAAATATTCGTAAGATTAGTGAAAACGCCAGTAATAACGAAGAGAAGTTACAAAAAAATCGCAAAGACTGGCATATAAATAAAGAGATACACGAGAATCTCGTTTAGAAATATATACGGATACAATATAT